TGCATAGCAATGACTCATCTGAAATATTGTCATGTGTGTGTTTTTGTTTGTGCCTCATGGTTGTGTATGCGTGTTTCTGCTATGAGGCAGGTGTGTGCATTTATCATCTACGTGTGAGATCATTGTTTTATGTATACTGTGTAAATATATATCTAGATATAAAACAATGTTCTTAGGAGCAATTTTAGTCCATGTTAAAGTAAATGTAACATAAGATAATTTACTTCAGAGACACAAAAGGCAACGCATACAATGACTCATCTGAAATATTGTCATGTGTGTGTTTTTGTTTGTGCATCACGGTTGTGTATGCGTGTTTCTGCTATGACGCAGCTGTGTGCATTTATCATCTATGAATGAGTCACATTACAGTTTGTGTGATTACTTTCTATTTGTGTTCCTGCAGATTCTGTGTCATGGTGAAGGTGTTGTTGATAACTTCCTGGACTCCCTGTTGCAAGCGTCAGATGGCGTGTCACAGCCCTGCTCTCCTCTCTGGGTCCTCTCACCCTCTGACAGCGGAATCAGCGACGACCCCCACTCTGACCACCTGGACAGCCCGCCGCCGCCCGCCAGTCCGCTTTTTGACACTGTCTTCCTCCCTCAGCATCCGCATCTTCTTCCTCAGCATCTTCAGCAGCAAGACGCACCTGTCACAAACACAGAGCCTGATACCTCCATTGATCAGGGTGAGATTTCACTCTTCAAACAGTTACTAACCATAAAAAAAAAACACTTTGTAACTTGAAACTTGAACTGAAAAAAAACAAAAACTTAAACTTACTATATTCCAGCTAGTTCAAAGGCAACACTTCTCAATTTTGTTTAGCTTAACTTTAAAGTAACTGAAATAAAAATGAATAAAAACTATGTGAACATAGTTAAAAAAGAAAAATGAATAAAATGACAACAACACAACAAAATGACTAAAATTTTAACAAATGAAAATAAAATCAGAAAATATGATATAAATTATACTAAAATAACACTGCCACACAGAAGCCCAGAATTTTTTATTTTTTTTTTTAAACAAAAAAAACCCATCAACAATCTTTATGTAAATACGTATTAAAATAGGTTAATTAGGGTAACTATACACTAGAATTTATGCTAAGAAATCAACTCGGTAAGAAAACAGAAAAAAAAAAAGTTTTTTTCTCTTCAGGTACATATTGTTCAAGTGTACTAACTTCTGTAGGCCATGCTGATGCTCACTTCACAAAGTAATTTTCTGTAATACACCTGCAGGTAAACATACGAACATTTTATTGATCTCGGTTAACCTGGGATTCATGGATCTTGATTAACTGGTATTGACTTGCTTCAAAATTTCCGAAATAAGGCAAAATTGCAAGCTATCTCAAATAATGTGGGGATTGGCTGAATTTCCACTTATTCTTTCAATCATAAAAACCTGTAGGGTCTGCAAAACCATCAGAACACACAATAGACTCTCAAAGCTTTCAGAGTTCAAAGCCTGAGTAAATGCAGTGAAGAATCACTAACCTGAACAGAGTTCAAAATGAATACACTTATAATTGTCCATGTTAAAATGTAACATAAGATAATTTACTTCAGAGACACAAAAGGCAACGCATACAATGACTCATCTGAAATATTGTCATGTGTGTGTTTTTGTTTGTGCATCACGGTTGTGTATGCGTGTTTCTGCTATGAGGCAGGTGTGTGCATTTATCATCTACGTGTGAGATCATTGTTTTATGTATACTGTGTAAATATATATCTAGATATAAAACAATGTTCTTAGGAGCAATTTTAGTCCATGTTAAAGTAAATGTAACATAAGATAATTTACTTCAGAGACACAAAAGGCAACGCATACAATGACTCATCTGAAATATTGTCATGTGTGTGTTTTTGTTTGTGCATCACGGTTGTGTATGCGTGTTTCTGCTATGACGCAGCTGTGTGCATTTATCATCTATGAATGAGTCACATTACAGTTTGTGTGATTACTTTCTATTTGTGTTCCTGCAGATTCTGTGTCATGGTGAAGGTGTTGTTGATAACTTCCTGGACTCCCTGTTGCAAGCGTCAGATGGCGTGTCACAGCCCTGCTCTCCTCTCTGGGTCCTCTCACCCTCTGACAGCGGAATCAGCGACGACCCCCACTCTGACCACCTGGACAGCCCGCCGCCGCCCGCCAGTCCGCTTTTTGACACTGTCTTCCTCCCTCAGCATCCGCATCTTCTTCCTCAGCATCTTCAGCAGCAAGACGCACCTGTCACAAACACAGAGCCTGATACCTCCATTGATCAGGGTGAGATTTCACTCTTCAAACAGTTACTAACCATAAAAAAAAAACACTTTGTAACTTGAAACTTGAACTGAAAAAAAACAAAAACTTAAACTTACTATATTCCAGCTAGTTCAAAGGCAACACTTCTCAATTTTGTTTAGCTTAACTTTAAAGTAACTGAAATAAAAATGAATAAAAACTATGTGAACATAGTTAAAAAAGAAAAATGAATAAAATGACAACAACACAACAAAATGACTAAAATTTTAACAAATGAAAATAAAATCAGAAAATATGATATAAATTATACTAAAATAACACTGCCACACAGAAGCCCAGAATTTTTTATTTTTTTTTTTAAACAAAAAAAACCCATCAACAATCTTTATGTAAATACGTATTAAAATAGGTTAATTAGGGTAACTATACACTAGAATTTATGCTAAGAAATCAACTCGGTAAGAAAACAGAAAAAAAAAATGTTTTTTTCTCTTCAGGTACATATTGTTCAAGTGTACTAACCTCTGTAGGCCATGCTGATGCTCACTTCACAAAGTAATTTTCTGTAATACACCTGCAGGTAAACATACGAACATTTTATTGATCTCGGTTAACCTGGGATTCATGGATCTTGATTAACTGGTATTGACTTGCGTCAAAATTTCCGAAATAAGGCAAAATTGCAAGCTATCTCAAATAATGTGGGGATTGGCTGAATTTCCACTTATTCTTTCAATCATAAAAACCTGTAGGGTCTGCAAAACCATCAGAACACACAATAGACTCTCAAAGCTTTCAGAGTTCAAAGCCTGAGTAAATGCAGTGAAGAATCACTAACCTGAACAGAGTTCAAAATGAATACACTTATAATTCTAAGGCAGGCAGGAGAAGCCTGTGATCTTCCAGAGGAAGCAGACTGTAATAACTGATCTGAGTTTTACTTACTGCTTCACCGCAGCAGAGGTTCTGCCACTAATGCAGGTCTGAGGTCAACGAAACTCACTAATTCAGTAATTGCAAATGCTGAAAATGTGATTTTAAAACCAATTACATATTTCAGATTCAATCAGAAAAGATGCAAATGTCCCACTGTTCAATCTTCTGCATTCAAATGTGGTTTTCAAATGTCTTTCTGTTGTACAATCACATTACAAACAAGATGCCTCAAAACACTCAAAACACCCTATCAACCAAATATCAACTAGGAATGCACAGATACTGGATTTCTCAGCCAATACTGATATTTGGCTGATACCAAAAGAATCTCTCCCAACTAATGCTGTAAACTATTTAAAATTAGTTCAAATTAACAACAAAACTATTATTTAATATACATAATAATCACACTCAAAAATGTTTGTACATACAAATCAATTGCACATAAATTAGCCTAGTTTTTAGAAAATCTTGTCTTCATGACAGATTTAATCAAACATAGGCTGCATTTATAATTAACAGTAAATAAGCTCCTTCTAGTGTTTTTATAGCTAACCAACAAACTGTGATAACTTTCCTGAGGTGAAAGCAACGTTAAGTGGCATATTGTTCCCCAGCTGTTTCATTGACGTCTTTCTTTTGGTTGAAACGCTGATTGATCGACTACATTAAACGTGATACATTTCGGTAAGTTGTGCTGTTTCTTTCAACATACCTTCTGACGTTCATGTTCGCGCTGTAACTTGTGCTACTAAACACCCAAAACACCTTAGCAACTGCATAGCAATGCCCTGAAACTACCGAGTGGTGCGTTTCCCAAAAGCAACTATGGTCACATGTTCCATCGTTACCAATAGAGTTCAATGGAACTTGCGACCATAGTTAGCTAACGATGCTTTGTGGAAACGCACCCTAGAGCAGTAGCAGCCAAATAGTAATGTGATAACAACCATCAGAACATCTTAGCAAGCACCTAGCAACACCCAAGAACAGTAGCAACCATGTATAAATGTGATAAGAACACCTTAGCAACACCTTAGAAAGCACCAGAACACCACTCAGCAGTGTACTAACAACCACTCAGAAAATGAAAGATCTATGTTGTCTGTTGGTCTTCAGACATAGTGTGATGTAAATGCATTCTGTGTGTGTGTGTGTGTGTGTGTGTGTGTTGTGTGCGCAGCAGATTGGGAGGCCTGTCTGTTCTCTGAAGGTCTGACAGACTCTCAGTGCACATCAGCAGTGCCGAGAACTCAACCAGCCACCGTTTACCAGCTCACCGTGAAAGACCTGCTGCTCTCCAACATCGGAGAAGCTGTGAGTACTGAGAGAACACAAACAGACATCACGTAGTGTATGTGACTCAACTGTTCTGCTGTGACATTCAGTGTGAAACATACAGCTAGTGTGACATCCACACGGATGCTAATGACAACCGGCTCTATAGAGGAGAGACAGAGAGAGCAGCGGAGATGTCAGATTTCATACGGGAAAACAGGAGATGTGGAAGAACTCAGGATGAAATACATGACAGAGAAAAAGAAAAAGCTCTCTTCCAAAAACTAGTCAGATACCTAGACAAAATAAATTGCAAAGAAAAAGCAAGTAACACTTTGAATTATACATTACATTTTTAAAGACTAAAGTAGTATTTTACAGTGTACTACATTTTGATTTTGGCTAAAATCAAGGGCTTCACATGCATTCTTCAATAAGGCATTCCCGGAATGCATTGCAACAAGCAGTTGCCACAAAAAAAAATATGATTCAGCAATAGTGACAGGAAAGATATTTATGCTTTCTATGTAAAGACTTCTGTTTCTGCTGTTCTTTTGAACTTTCTATTTATCAAAATATGTATCACGGTTTCCACAGAAATATTAAGCAGCTTTTCAACATTGATAATAATCAGAAATATTTCTTGACCAGCACATTAGTATATATCAGAATGATTTCTGAAGGATCATGTGACACTGAAGACTGGAGTAATGATGCTGAAAATTCAGCTTTGATCACAGGAATAAATTAAATTTTAACAC